CCCTAACTATTCTATGATTCTATGATCAGTGAACATCCATTTTTTTCTTAGTCACTTAGCTGCTTTCGAAGTGTTTCCTTGTCTAAAAGTACTTCAGATACTCTTATATTTAAAATGCTTAAAGTTGAATCTGAGTGAGTTTAATATGGACAGAGAAGCTACTGTGAAAAACAGCACTATGAAGCATATTCTAATTCAGAACACTTGTTAAAGGAATAAATACAAGTAATTCTTTTTCTGCTTGTAGTGGCAAACTTCAGTGTTTGAATTATTGACTAAATAAATAGGTAAGAAATAAAAGTATTTGCAGTCATCCCACACATGGCAGCAAAAACTTTAGTTGAGCTTTTTATCTTCGTGTGACATGGTGACGGGACTCCTATTGAAATAGATATGTACAAATACAGAATGCATTGTATTTATTAAATTAAACTTTACCTTGTTAAATTAGCAAAATGAAATAGTCATTTGGCTTACATTTCTCTAGTACTGAAGGGTGCTTACACAAAGGTTCCTGCCTGCACATGCCCAAACCTGGTTGAAACTTAATAGATGTAAGGAAGATATTTCTGTCTTAACAAGTAGCTTTTCTGTTAGTATTCTTTAGAACTGTCTATGCTCTTGACTCTAATCTTTCCTTCCTTCAAAATAACTATTTTAAATTTTTGTTTGGTGACCAGTAGTCATGGTCTGCACACGTTTCACAGCACAGCACATTCAGCTGCATGTCTTCGGTTATGCACTGAATGCTTTAAGTGATTAAGTAAAACTTCTACATCTGTTACAGTAAAAGTCAAATGTGCTCAGAGTAAGTAACTCAGAATTACCTAATATCCTAGCTAATGGCTGAGGAAGAAGGATGAAAGTTTGAAAAGGAAAAATTAAAAAGCCCAACCTTGCAGAAACAAGCAAGCTGAGGAGTACCACTTAGCAAAAGGCTACGCCCTCTGACTGTCTGCCTTCTCTCTCCTTTCACACCTTAAATCAAATCCTCATGAGTTAATTGTACTTTGTGGGTCTATATTTGATATATTACTAACTGAAGGGTTGGATTGTATACTTCTGTTGTGTACAGGTGTTGGTGGCATTGAAGCAGAAGCAGTGATGTTGGGCCAGCCAATCAGCATGGTGCTTCCTGAGGTGGTTGGCTATAAGCTGCTAGGTAACCCTCAGCCACTGATAACGTCCACTGACATTGTGCTCACCATTACTAAGGTAATTAATGTGACTTCTGCTTTGCCATTACTGCTGGAAGCTATGTGTGTTCTGTAGGACAGAGCCACTGTACTGCATGCTTAGGAGCCTTGTGTGTGCTTCCATGTAGTCATTTTGGACTTTTCTTTAAGCTTTATCACTCTATGTGGGTTGGAATCAGGTGCCCAAAGACAACCACAACTTTGCTAGACAAACATGATTCTCGAAGCCAGACAAAATAGAACAGAGAGCTGGTATCTCCTGGCTTGTTCAAATCCTCATGTACAGACCTGTTTTGGAACACACTGCTTGTAAAAGGATCTTGTTTCTTTACTGCCTCAAAAAAACCCCACAATGACTTTCTTTTTTAAGTCCCCGCTTAAGATAAGGCAATATAAAACCTGCAAACAGACAGGAAGCGCTGCAGTCTGATTTCTTTGATCTGCAGCTGTTTGGCTCACACATCATGTGTTCATGATTTGTTTATTCACTCTGTGGACTGTGACTGAATTAATAGCATTACTGGGTCAGCACTAATGTTGTTGGGGGTCAGAAATTTAGTACACACGTTCATCATGGGATGAACATGAGGTCTTTAGAGAGAACCTCCAAATGGGGAAAACCAGTGTTTTGGGGTTTTTTTTATGAGTTGATCCAGATGTTGTGTGTTTTCAGTCATTTACAGTTTGATTCATGTACTTGTGCAGTTTTTTCTTTCTTTTGCCTCATCTTCCTGGGTTTGCTGGCTAAAGACCCCACATTGTTCTCCTCTCCTTAGAACATCAAGTTGAGAAAAATAGTTGTTCTAAGACAGACTCTAGTTTAAATGAGAGGAAGAGCAAGTTTATAAGGAATAAGTCCCTTTGTTGTACCTTTATTATTATTAAAACTTTACATCGCTCTGTCCTCGTCTTTGTGATTTAGTTTACCAAAGCTTCCTGGTTTCGTATGGCTGTAGAAACCTTTCACAAAGGTTTCTCTGAAAATGAAAGCTCGATTTCATAACATACATGCTCAGGTTGTTTGACACCTAGCAATGACACAGGCAATGTATTTTTACAACAGCACCTTCGCCAAGTTGGAGTCGTGGGTAAATTCGTGGAGTTTTTTGGTCCTGGTGTAGCCCAGCTGTCAATAGCTGACCGAGCCACCGTTGCCAATATGTGTCCCGAGTATGGAGCAACAGCTGCCTTTTTCCCAGTGGATGATATTAGCATTGGGTACCTGATACAAACTGGTGAGTGTAAGAAGATAACCATGGGTTAAAGGTGTAGTTGAAAGAAAGGACTCCAGGTCTATATGGTGTAGTCAGCATTGGGGTTGAATCAGGTGGAGCTTGAGTGCTTTGTTTTATCCACGCTTGGTTATTCAGGCTGTTTCTTGCTTTTAGGGTCCATGTTTTTTCGGAAAAGACTGTTTTGCATCTCACTGCCTTACTCTCCCAAACCTAGCTTGTCCAGATGAAAAAAAAGCAGGAACCCAAGTTCTTGGTCTGCAAAAGCCACTAAATCTGTTCATTTGCTTTGTTTCTAGTGAGTTTCTAATGTTTGTGCCAAAAGGGTTTTGTAAAGCAGTGTACAGCAAGAACAGTGAAATAGCTTGTTATGCATTTTTTTATTTTTCCGTCACATGGTAGTGCCTCAGTTTCATTTGTGTTTTGTTTTTACTATATCTGTCTTTCGTCTTAGGCCGTGATAGAGAGACAGTTATGTGCACAAAAAAGTATCTTGAGGCTGTGGGAATGCTTAGAGATTTCAAGAACTCCTCTCAGGATCCGGACTTCACACAGGTTAGAAACTACTCTGTCTTCTGGCTCCTTGCTTTATGCCCCCACCTGTTTTAGTGTGACAACTGCGTGTTTTTCACAGAAACTCAGAAATAGACATGGAACTCCTTCTTGGCTTGGTCCACACAGCTTAGGGCACAGTGGAATGAGTCAGCTGTCATGAAAACTCTGGCATAGGTATAGATTTGCTCTCAATTGAGCTGTAGCTGGTGCAGATTCTGCGATTTGATTCATGTAGTTTTGAGAAGTCCAGTCCAGACTCAGCTATGAAGGTAATGTGGATGGTGTCTGTGTAAGCTTTGTCCCAGTTTTACCCTTCTTTTTAGTAACTTATTTTATTGTGTGAATCAGGACACTTAGAAGCACTGTATGGTAACTGCAGACCACACAAGCTGTTCTGTATGCAAGAAAATCATGATGTTACTCAGTGTCCAGGAAAATCAAGGGTATTACTGGTTTTCTCTACAGTAAGACTTTACCTTGTAACTTATGTTCAGGTTTGCATGATTATTCGAAAACCTTAGTAAATACAGGAAGGAAGATGCAGCAACGAAGTTGAAACATGGGTGAGGAACAAGAAAATGTGATAATCTCTTTCAGAATAGACTGAACATTTTCCCCAAGGCCAAGATGAATAGTCAGCTTTGGTTTATGCCAATACCAGGATTTCTTCACATCATTGTTTTCTGAAGAGGACCCTGCTGCTAGCATGTGAAAGGACATAATTCTTAAAATCGTCTATATTGTTTAGATGCTTTAGTCACACATTGGGTTTTCAATAACAAGGGTACTTCTGAGAGCCATACCTGGGAGCTGGCAGGGTTTAAAAATAGAATAGTTTCTTTTCTTATCATCTTTCCCTTCTCATGTGTCTTTAATTTCTGCAAGCAAAAAAAGATATGCAGACTTAGCCCTGGTTCAACTGTGGCTTAACTGGCTTTAACTTGTCATGGATTGCTGAACTGCTCTCTGTTCCTCTTACTGAATAGGTTGTTGAGTTGGATCTCAATACTGTTGTGCCTTGCTGCAGTGGACCAAAAAGACCCCAGGACAAAGTTGCTGTTTCGGATATGAAGAAGGACTTTGAGACTTGTCTGGGAGCCAAGGTAGAGACTAGGAACCTTTGGGCATACAAACTAATGCATGTTTCTAGAAGTTGTTCAGTGTTCAAGAACTACATTCTGGTAAACTTCTGTGTTGTTTATTTGCATATGGAAAGTAAATGAGGATGTTTGAATACAGTTTCGAAGATTACATCAACAATGGGTAGTTTAAAATTGGGGTGATGCTTCTCTCATAGGAAGTTGTTTGTGTCCTATTGAAATAGTAGTTATTTCTGGTTTTAGATCAGTCTTAGGCCTAATATGGTTTTGATATACACTAGGCATTTATGAACTAGGCTCGGTTAGACTGGACCATGGTGGATATCATTAGAAGCAGCTATTGCACTGAGCTCTGTGCTAATTACCCAGCTCATCTTTCCAAGCAGGTTGCACCCTGAGCTCCACAACATAGTTTTGCACTCAGTACTTAATCTTTTGTCAGATCAGAACTGCATGTTTGTCTGTGGCTCTTAGATGTTGGTGGTAAAGATAGAAAAAAAGACTTCTGCCTACATTATCCAGTCATTGAAAGAAGAGCAAGATTTTAGTTTGAATTAATATACCCGGATGCTTAAGTTTGCAAAATCAATTTGAATCCTTTATTGACACAGTAACTGCCCTTGTTAAAGGCAATACAGAAATCTAGTGGTGTGAATCAAAATAAGCAATTCCCAATAATTCTTGTTTTGATACATGTTCCAAACTCCATTTAATGACCTGTGCTTTCAGATCTGTAAGTGTAATTTTTCATGTCGTGAACAGTGCTTTCTGGCTCTTTGGTTTTGGTTTGTAGGTTTGGGTTTGGGGTTTTTTGTTGGTTTTTTGGTTTGGTTTTTTTTTGTTTGTTTTTCAACTGTCAGGCTTTTGCCTCTCAAGTCAGCTCTTAGTATAAGTTTGAATTGTTAGATATTCATGGCTTAAAAAAATCTTACGTGTTATGTCTAAAATCTCAGGACTAGGTTGTGTAACAAGACTATATGTGGTCAGGAATCTGGAGCATCTGGGAGCAAGAAGCATCTGAGCGATCTGAAGAAGGATATATTCATGCAGGAAGACAACACAAATATATTTTACTGCAAAACCTGCCTCTTTTACCAATAAACAGAGAATAGGATAGACCCTAGAAAAATAATCTTTGACTACCAATTTGACTGCTGAGAAATGCAAGCCTTCACTACCAGACCTAAAAGTGCAAGCATGGATGTGATTGGCAGATGCTTCTCATTCATGAAGTTCCCAGCCCATATAATATCCAGTCAAAATACTGATATTAACCACATCCTTTTGATTCTTACTTTCTCCTCTTACAGCAAGGATTTAAGGGATTTCAAATTGCCCCAGATCAACACAACAGCATAGTCAAATTCAATTTTGAGGGCTGTGACTTCGAGCTTGCTCACGGTTCAGTAGTGATTGCTGCCATTACAAGCTGTACAAACACCAGTAATCCCTCAGTTATGTTGGGAGCAGGTAAGCTTATTTCCTTAATGTGCGGTAGTTTCTTTATGGCTCTGGCTGTGTGTCCTAAAGACAAATACAATACTGATGTAATTCTATATGTACAGTGCTGTTTGTTATTTGAAGTGCTAAAACTGGACTTAGTCCCTAAGGGTAGCAGAATGAATTCTGGAAATCATTGCTAGAAATGTGGATTGAAGAAAATGTATACTTCTTGCACTGTCTTCTCCACGGGCCAAGCTGGAACTGAATTAACCGACACCTCTGACAATTGTTCAAATGCAAAGAAGCTGTTATATAGACCTGAGAAGAGGCTGTTGAAAGTCAGAGCCACAAGAAGAGGGACAGTGAAGAACAGTCTATGAATTTAAGTCTGAAGGTGCTCTGACCTAGCAGCAGAGTTCAAAACACATATTTTGCTAGAGATGTATTGAGTTGTTACAGCAAGAGCCTGAGAGCATGGAGGGGGATGAGTAAAATTAGTCTAAGTTGATTGTGTTAAATTTTAGGTCAGGAGGTTGTTCATTTTTAACCTGGCTTGTCTGGGCAGAAAATTTCTCATTCCAAATGTGTGCTTCTGACAACAAAATGTGAATTAAGAGAGTCAGCTGAAAGGGTTCAGTCTATACCAGACCAGTTCGGCCCTCTTTCCCAGTGCTTGTCTACATGCTCACGTATTTCTTTCTGTCACAAACATATACGTAGACCCTGTCACTTTAAGGTCATCATTGCATTAGGGCTTACTGTTTGTATGTGACTTGTGTGATGGGATAGAGTGCCTTGCCAGCAAGTTTGCTGATGATACAAAACTGGGAGGAGTATCTGATACTCCATAGTGTTGTGCTGTTATCCAGAAGAGTCTGCACAGGCTGAAGAGATGGGGAAAGGGGGACCTTTTGAAATTCAACAAAGGCAGATGCAGGGTCCTGCACCTGGGGAGAAATAATCCCATGCATCAGTACAGGCTGGGGGCTGAATGCTGGAAAATAGCTCTGTGGAGAGGGACCTGGAGGTCATGGTGGACAAGTCGTCCATGAGCCGGCAGTGTCCCCTTATAGCCACGAATGCAAACGGTATCCTGGGCTGACTTAGGAAGGGCATTGCCAGCAGGTCAAGGGAGGTGATCCTACCTTTCTGGTCAGCTCTAGTGCAGCCTCACCTATACTGTGTCCAGTTCTGGTCTCTGTACAAGAGAAGCATGGAACTCCTGGAGCAAGTCCATGAAGGACTCCTAGAATGATTAAGGGTCTGGAGCATCTCTCCTTTGAGGAATGGCTGAGGGAGCTGGGCCTGTTCAGCCTAGAGAAGAGAAGGCTTGGGGTGACCTGATCAATGTGTGAGTATCTGAAGGGAGGATGCCAAGGGGATGAGGCCAGACTTGGTGGTGCCAGATGATACACAGAGACAAAAGATGTAAATTAAAGCACAGGAAGTTCCACCTGAATATGAGGAATAACTTCTTTACTGTGGGGTGACTGAGCAGTTGGAATAGCCTGCCCTGAGAGAGGCTGTGGAGTCCCTTTCCCTGGAGATATTCAAGAGCCATCTGGGCACAATCCTGAGTTGGTGACCCTGCTTGAGCAGGGAGGGTGAATTAGATGACTGCTGGTGGTTCCTTCCAGCCTCAATCATTCTGTGATTCTGCGATTCCTGGTCTGTCAGACTGTTTGTATGATGGAGGCTTCTTTTCTACAAAGGCTGAGAGTGTGCAATGGGCAGTGCAAGGATCCTTGACCAGAGAGGATTACTTACTGGTTGAAGTCGCATAATTTGTCTTGTTTGTTCCTTTGTGGTGGTGGGAAGATCTTGGGCTTGTGGACAGCCTCTCAGAAAAATCACTTCGTGTTTAGGTTGTTGATGTGATATTTGTCACCTGTTCTTGGGCTAGGATCTTTCTTCAGGTACTCTACAGTACTGGCAGCTCACCCCTTCCAAGGTACAAAAGGTCTTTAATTCCTACTAACATGTCAAAGCCTATCATAAACCAGGATGTGGGGTGGAAAAGGAAGTGAAGGAGAGATCTGCTCTATTCTTTAAGCCTTTGAGAAGAATAGAATTGAACAAAGTCTCCCTGTTCACTTGCCCTTGACAGCACATCCAAATCAGCATGCTTCTTTCCTCAGTTCCATCCTGATCGTGATCACAGAAATAGAGCTGTATTTCTTTCTTCCAAGGATCAAGAAGTAGGTTTCCTCCACATAGACTCTCTGCTCTGTTGTAGGTGGGTGTATGCTACAGTTGTGCCACCTGCTTAGCATACAATTTCCCCAAGTGTTTGGCTGCCAGGCTAATAGCATGCATTTTTAACACTCTCTGTGGCAGTGAGAATCCCGATCTTTCAGCCTGTTTAGCTTAATAGCCAGGTTTTAAAGTGTAGAATGCCCTGCAAGATACAAGCAAAGTAGGTACTTCAAACACATTCACTACTGCTTAACACACAACAGCCTGAAGAGCAAGGATCTTAGCATGTGCTCTCAGATTTAGTGGGTACTCATACATTTGTGGCCTTTTGGAGTAGCAGTGCTTATGCTTCAACCTTGACAAGGAGAGAAAAAGTAATTGTCAGTCTCCAGCAACTGTTTGTACATTACAGTGTTGAGAACCTCCAACATAACCACAAGAAACGTGTTAATTTGACTTTCAGAATAGGGTTTGAAATGAAAGTAAATAAAACATATAGTGATCGCACACTAAGTAACCAAGCTGAAAGAAATCCCAGATGGGACTAGTTGCTTCAAACTGCCACTGTATATCCTGTGCACTAAATGATGTGCAGGGGTTGTGTGTCTGTGGGAATAGTGAGTGTATGCTGAAGTAGCCTTAACAGCCTAATCTGTGTTGGATTAAGGTTTTGTTGCAACTTAAATTCTGGCATTTACTTGCGAGATTTTAGAGTTTGACTGTGCATTCTTTTCAGAACCGGTATTGGCAGGAAAGCAGAAGCCAACACTTTCAAACAGGCTGTCCTGGGATGGCCTAGGATGACCATTTCTTTATGTCACATTTTCCAGAGGTATCTAAGAGCTTCAGTTTCCACAGCTCCCTCTAGCAGCTAAGGAGCCTCAGCAATTTCAGCAATAGAATGGCTTTTTAAAATTAATGTATCTACCTTTAGGCCTCAAAATCTATCAGTGTAATCCTTTTCACATGCCACTTACAAGTGGAGGTCTCCAGATAATGTCTGATACAGTTGCCGGACAGCTGGCAAAAACAGAACAGTCTGATTTCTTCCTACTGGAGATCATGCTGGATCAAAGTAGAGCTGCGTAGATTTTCTTATCTAAGTGGATGTGTGAGGGAGAATGTGGCATGGGAGTGTGAAATCTTGCATAGCTGCGGCTTCTTTGTGTCCATCCTGGGAAAAGGCTGGAGGGAGCTTGTTTTCTGAACACTTATGTGTGTGTGGACAATTTGTTTAAAAGATAGAAATCCAGGATAAATGTGTTTCTGGTAACATATGCTATACTACAACATCTCTGTGTGTGTTACAAATCCAGAGGTGCTAAAACAGCACTCCTGCTACAAGCTGTAGATTGTGAGATTGTTTGTGACAAGGGCCAGAGTTGGTGCTCTCACAGCCATCTGCTTCTGAGGGCAGCAGATCATATGTTGGCAGTTACGTCAGTACTGGGTCACTAGACCACCATAAGTGGGAAGTTAACAATTCTTCATTGCATTTTATTGTGAGACACTTGTCTTACAAATAGTGTCCCGAGTTTTGAATGTCTACATGATGTCCAAGTGTGAGTGCATCTTGTTGAATGCAATTTCCAGCTGCTTTCCAGTGGAGCAGAAATTGCAGGCTGGATCTACAGTTCAAATGAGCACTGGAGCTCTAGCTGGTTATTCTGGGATTTGTGCTGTTGGCTCACTGTACTGTTTCATTGCTGGAAAGGAAGCCTTTTCTTCCAGTTATTTAATGGTACTTCCTTTAATCTGCTGATCCACCAAACTGTCCCACTTCCAGGAAAACTTCAACTACCCTTTGCATTTTTCAGGATTGCTTGCTAAGAAAGCTGTTGAAGCTGGTTTGACAGTGAAGCCATACATTAAAACTAGCCTGTCACCAGGAAGCGGTGTTGTCACTTACTATCTGAGGGAGAGTGGAGTTATGAGTTACCTTTCCCAACTAGGGTAAGAGTGTTTTCCTTACTGTTGTCCTGTGGCTGCTTAACTAAAAGCATTGACAACAAGCAATGCAATAGAATAAGTATTTCTCTGTACAGCTTAAAGGATACAGCAGGTACTCTACAGCATTATCCTGCCTGAGTTAGCGTGTTGCTGTTGTGCTGGCTGACCGTGCCAGTGAGGAAGAGGACCTGATGCCTGCTGTAGCTTCTGGAAGACTCATGTTCTTAAGCAGGAGAATGGGTTACTTTTCAAGATTAATGGTTTTAAAATAACATAAATGACCTTAGACTGTTGTTCATCTTGCTAGATAACACATTTCCTAGCTCTTAATTCTGCATGCATGGAAAGTCACTGCAACAATAAGAATTGAGCATTCTCAAAAATGCTGTTTTCGGCAGCAATTCACTTGTTAAAGCAGTACATCTTCTGAAAGTAACCCTAGCCAACTGCTAAGGGGTTTAACATCTTGCTCCAAAATAGCCTTTTGTTCACTAATGCTTTTTGTGCTCTGTCTAGGTTTGATGTGGTAGGTTATGGCTGTATGACGTGTATTGGCAATAGTGGACCCCTACCAGAGCCTGTTGTCCAGGCCATTACACAGGTATGTGGTTTTTCCTGTGCAGCTTATTTAGGTAAGCTGTTCTCTGTTGTGTGCTGTTCTGAGCTGTCTTATGCTATGCAAAGTAGTATACATGTGTGTGAAGTCTATATTCTCTTTTCTGTGGAAGTGCTTTGGAATTGTTTGGAGCGAGACAGGTCTATGACTGTCCAGTCATTGATGCTGCATCACGGCACATCTCTACAGACCTGCTGGTGCATGGAGTCTGCAAGCACCTCAGATACCGTTGTCTCAAATTCTGTCTTACAGGCAGACCTCGTAGCGGTGGGTGTGTTGTCTGGCAATAGGAATTTCGAAGGGCGTGTCCATCCCAACACCCGTGCTAACTACCTGGCTTCCCCACCACTGGTCATAGCCTATGCAATTGCAGGGACTATCCGGATCGACTTTGAGAAAGAATGTTTGGGTAAGACAGTGTCAGGACACTGCTTCTCACCTTATAAACTAAACTGGTTGGAATTAAGCTCTTCAGAAATACTTGTCCTAGGGAGATGCTTCAAATGTGCGAGTATGTCAGGGACAGGAAGCATGGAATTGTTAAGAAACAGAGCAACAGGGAGTCTGCATGATGGAGAAAGGGGGAAGCCAAGCCTGACCAGTATTCTAATTCCACAGGGGCATCTTTTGGGTTATATCTGGGTGTAACAGCCTCTCATGACTAAACTGACCTAGCAGACTTACTTTGAGCAGGTAGCGCAGCTAGACAGCCCTCAAAGATCCTTTCCAGCCTGAATTATTCTCCAAATTATTCTGGAAGGTCATCAGAAATGGCAGAAGAAGGTGTATATGTACAGGAATCATCAAGTTTATGAGGCCTTCTTCTGTCAAACCCTTGTAGGTGAAAAAGTGTATCTCATGAATGTTGACAAGATTAGAAGAAACACACAACTAGAGGACACTGTGGTAAACTTTTCTTCTTCTTTTAAATGAAAAAATTATGCAAAAAGCATGACAATACCATTTTCTACAGGAACAAATGCTTCCGGGAAGAAGATTTTTCTGAAAGATATCTGGCCAACAAGAAATGAGATTCAGGCTGTTGAGCGTCAGTTTGTTATTCCTGGAATGTTCAAGGAGGTCTACCAAAAAATAGAGGTGAATTAATCCCCTGGCCAGTACACTGATTCATGTACCGTGGTATTTTGAATGTGTTAAATAAGCTGGTCTTGATAATGAAATGAACCTTTTCTTTATATTGCTGTTGCTCCTGTTCTGACAAGTAGTTAATGAGTTCTGGTATGGTTTTTTGTTTGGTTGGTTGGTTTTAAATGTTTTCTGGTTAATTAATTGGCTCTTACAGGCAGTTGTGTCCTCAAAATTGCTCCTTCATGGCATTTTTTAATGTAACGTATAGATGATGTGTTTTAAACAGTAGGCTGATACTAGAAAGTGAGATGTTCCAGCTTCACAGATAAAATTTGTAATTTTACCTGGATTCTGAATTAATTCTGTTGCGTCTGAAAACTTAGAAATCAGAGGGATATTTTTGTTTGTTTTTCAGACAGTAAATGAATCCTGGAATGCCTTAGAAGCTCCTTCAGATAAACTATATACTTGGAATCCCAAGTCAACTTACATCAAGTCTCCACCTTTCTTTGATGGTCTGGTATGTGCATACTTTCCCTTTGAATTGAGCCAAAGTATATTACCTTGACTAATGTTAAAGGTGAGGCAAAGCTACATCAAGAAGCCTGGGAGCATCCATCATAGCCTATTGATGCCTTGCTTCTCAAATGTTAGAATTTGGCTATTCCATTCATTTTAATACAAAGTCATGAGTGCATATGAAGACTGTAAGGATTCTCAGTCACTTCAGGGCTTTTGAAAAGTCTTGTTTTCCTTTTAAGTTTATATACTTCAAAATAGTCACAAAGTAAGTGAGGGAAAAGGACAGGAAACAAACCCCACAATTCTGCCTGCCTGCCTTTTGCATCAAGTAGTTCAGTGTTCACATTGCTATTTCAGTACCATTTAAAAGAAAAAGCAGATTTCAATGCACACAGATGTCTGGGAATCCTGGGTTTTAATCTGCTTTCATGCATACACCACAGGAAGCTTCAGTTAATATTGTGGGGGTTTTTTGCTTCAACTGTTTTCTTTACCTATGAATTTGCTGACAGACAGCCAGGACATTGTTTTTTGTTCAAGAATGCATTAATTTTTAATGATGTTTCGGTCTTTCCTTTCTTCCAACTTAACATAAAAAGGCAGACTTTATTTTGCATTTGCACTTTTGAGAAAGATAAAGGAGTTCTGTGTTGTTTTTTAATGATCATATTTGTATTTATGATGGTTTAGACTTTGGCTCTTCAGACCCCAAAAACGATAGAAGATGCTTACGTCCTGTTGAATTTTGGGGATTCTGTGACAACAGACCACATCTCTCCAGCTGGGAATATAGCAAGAAACAGTCCTGCAGCCCGTTATTTGACCAGCAGAGGGTAAGCTTTACTTCTTGATCTTGTTATAAGTTGGGAAGAGGAAACAAGCCACAGCCACTATACCATGTTACAGGCTTACGTATTCTGCTTGTCTGTTCACATACGCTTGTATACCTTAAAAAATGCCTGGAGAATACATAAAAGAACAAAGAAAAACATTTTTTTTCTCTGCTGTTTTCAGCAGCTCTCACCAAGTGTAAGAACTTGGATGTAGTGTGCACATCTGTAACACTGGAAAGCTGAAGACCTTTGGAGAGAGGGGAAAAAGATAACTTTCAGGTCAGGTTTTGCAGTAAGTCTGTTCATGAATAAGGGAATCAGGATTTTTCTCCCTGATAGAAGCAAAATGATCATGGTCCTTAATGCCAAAAATTTGTTTTATGCTAGTTTCTTCTAGCACCTGCAACTATTTCATAGATCTAGGCTATCAGGAGCTATAGAACATCCAGAAGTTTAGGTTTCAGTGCAGCTGCAAAAACTGGCAAATCTATTGTGGTTGAAGTCCACACTGCTGTCTTTTCCTATGGCCAGTCTGTCAGTTTAAGAAGGGGGTCAACTTAAGGCAAAACTAGGACTTGCTGAGTTGCCCTATTCGGTTTTCACAGATATTATAATACTTCTATTGTCTGGTTTAGCGCTTCTTAAAATTTCAGTGGTGTTTTGAGAAACAGCACTGACATTATTAAAAGAAAAAAATAATTCAGTAGACCTAATAATTCTAAAGAGGAAATTTATTAGAACAATTTTATCTACTGAAATCTAACTGCTTTTGACTCTTCGGCCCTTTGCTGTCAGACACTTTGAAATCTAAAGAGTCCTACAGACATTACAAAACAGCTGTTGTATGTCACAGCTGCTGTTTGGATGTAGCCCAGTGCAAACAGTCCAATTTTTTGTCACATTCCAGTACATTTTTTGTTTACTGGTTAGGCTGGAGTGTCCCCTCATTCCCATACCTCTGTTTATAAAGGAACTTTTTCTTCCGGAGTTCTAACTTGCAGCAGGGGCTTTCTGTGCCTTTTAGATGTTTTAGCACAGTGGTGTCTCTACCGTTGTTCTATATGCTATGGTAATATAAGTAACAAGGAGTATTTACTCCAGCTATTACAAATACTGTTGTGTCTTCTGACTTAATGTCAACAATATCCTTGAATCATTATCAGATGCTGCTTTCTAAGGCAAGGGATAAGAATACTGTGGAAGCTGCTTTCTGTGACCAAGCTGTAGGTATGCTTCTGATTGGTTTCTTTTTGTTGTTTGGAGTTTTCTTATTCCCTTCAAAATCAGCTAACTGGATGCTACTGCCATGATGGGAACTATGTAGATACCTGCCTCAGAAACACCAGATCATTACTTTTTTTAAAGCACAGAGTGCTTCAGTTTAAAACCAACATAGTTTCCTTTTTTTCTTTGTTTTCTTTTCCCTAAATAGCTTAACTCCTAGAGAGTTCAATTCTTATGGGTCCCGCAGAGGGAATGATGCTGTCATGACCAGAGGAACATTTGCAAACATTCGCTTGGTGAACAAATTTATTGATAAACAAGGACCTCAGACTGTCCATTTCCCTTCAGGGGAAACTGTAAGTACACATCCTGTTCTAAACTGAGGCTTATTGCCAGTAGAGTGGATTAGTACTGGTTTTCCTTCTTACAACTGGGGTCATTTACTTAAGTACCTTTAAAGTAAAGCTAATGAGAGGAGAGGAGCTTCATTGACCAAGGGAAGCAGGTCACACGTGTGGTGCTATCAGGCATATCAGTGGAGAGTATAACCACTGTAGAAGTGGTAGTGTAAAGTGCACATTTGTGTTAGGAGGGAGATCAGGCTAGAAGCAACAAAGCACTATATGGTCAATACCCTGAAAGTGCTGCTTGGTGGAAAGTGTGGGCTTGAGCTGTTTATGTGGGGATGCTTTTTCTCCTTGTTTCCCTGGAACTGTGCTTCTACCCCAGAAAGTGTGTAAGTGTTTGGCATTTTCATTCCAGCTGGACGTATTTGATGCTGCGGAAAGATACAAGCAGGCTGGCCATCCTCTGATTGTGCTGGCTGGGAAGGAATATGGTGCAGGAAGTTCCAGAGACTGGGCAGCTAAAGGACCATTCCTGTTGGTGAGTGACTACAGTAAACTAGGAGGAGGACAGTTCTTAAAAGTGCATTACTTTATTGGGAAGACTAGCTTATGACCAACATCGTGGGCAGCTCATTCTCTCTTTTGATAGCAAGAGCTATTTTGAAATCTCAACTGTCTCCAAAAGCCACAGCAGAGCTTTAAAAAAGCTTTTTTAAAAAAAGAGTTTTTAAAAATTTAAATAGCTTTAAAAAGCTATTTAAATATTAATATTTTTATTAGACTGGAAGCCTTGCCTGATCTTCAGCTAGAAATCCAAAAAGCTACACCAGAAAGGCCAGTTCCTTTCTTCTGATTACCATAAGCCAGGAAACCTTAGATCTGCTTCCAGTTGCCTCCTTCAACTCACTTAGCAGGGAAGATAGATAGAAAGTGTAAAAGAAAAGTAGCATTAGTGAAAATGAAATTTAGCATGGCTTTACCCTGCAGATTGCAGGGATGCTTAGCAGTATTGTTGCAGGAGCCTAATAGAAATCCACATACAGCGAAATACCTGCTTCTTTCTTTGTCTCGTCTTGCACTTATTTACCAGCCTGAACTCTGATTCAGGCTTTCTTGGTGAGGAATTTGTGAAGGCAATAGTGTATTAAACAAAGATTGGTAAGAGTTGATGTTTAAGATTACATTTGTCTAAGATTTTGAGGGTTTTATCCAGTGGTAATTTTTTTTTGTCTTAACTGTATTAACACGTATGAATTTAGAAATTAATTGAACTGCATCCTGGAGCTTGTAGTGTAGGACGACAGCACTGAATTAGCAGTGGTTATGGAAATGACTAGTGGTGTTCTACGTAAGACATGTTAAAGAAGTATGCAGGATTCCTGAGAAAGCATATGTAATTTTTTGACGATCACACTTCTTTTAAAGATGCTTGAAAGTTAATATATAATCAAGACAGTCCTCTGTCAGACCAACCTGCTAACTCTAACAGTAGCTGATAAATGAAATGGAGAGGGACCACAAATGTACTGTTTTCCTTCCTATAAGCACAGAAAGGCTATCCTGAACCATAAAGATAACTATAGCTGTTGTGTGTTTCTCAGGGTGTCAAGGCCGTGCTTGCTGAAAGCTATGAGAGAATTCATCGGAGCAACCTAGTAGGAATGGGAGTGATTCCTCTGCAGTATTTGCCTGGAGAGGATGCAGGGACTTTAGGACTCACTGGGCGGGAGCGTTACACGATTGTAATTCCTGAAAAACTAAAACCACAGATGAATGTCCAGATTAAGGTATGAGATGCCCAGGGCTGAATTTTCTGAATCACTGTGATTTGTCTCAGAATTAACTGTCTCTTCAAACAATGTGCTTTCATATGGCACTGAATTTCTCTTGCTTGAGAGAGGGGTAATTGGGATAGTGAAAGAGATGAAAACAGTAATTCTAAGAGGGATTTGCTATGATGGGATATAAAAGCAGCATGCCCAAACTGTTTTATTTAGCACAAAGCAGTCCTGTATTTTGGACCAGTCATTCAAGCCCACTGTAGTTTTTTCTATCTCTGTTAAATGTTTGAAGCAAAATAGAAAGTGAACTGTAAGTATTAAATAAATTAAACTAATCTATTTAAATGAATTTAAAATAATTAATTGATAACTGACAAAATATTGTACGCTGTAGCATTCAAAGTGAAGTCTAAAGAATACCCAGCATAAAATGTAGTTAAACTTCAGTCCCTGTATTTGAAAGACTACTTTTTGTGTAGCTTTGCCTCTGAAGCTATGCTGCTTCTTGAAAAATATTAGCATCTATGATGAAAAATTTGGTTTATTCTTGATTGGAACATTTGTAAAACTGATTTAACCTAATAGGATCGAAGTCTGCTCTTTTACTGCAGCTAGCAAAACTATCTACTTATTGCATGTTTGCTTAATGCAGGTCTCCCTGGATTAGTTTCTAACGATAGGTTTTTACATGTGCCTCATTAACTGTCCTGAAATGGAGAAAATATAGATCCCAAAGAGCTGGTCATCTTACCAGGCACAGATTAATGTTGTGCATTCATCTGGAAGTACCTGACTAGGGACTCTTCAGTAAAACACAATGGCTTTATTCACTTCATGCACTTGTCTTTGTGCTAATCCAATTCCCAAGCACTAGGCCACAGAGAAGCTGATGACATTAGTATCGCTGTTGAACTTAAGCCAGAAGAATGACCACTTAGAAGAACATCAAGACTTAGTATAACCACTTGGAAGGATGCTCAGCTTTATGCCTCTAGGCTTATATCAACAATAAATCTAAATGAGCCAGCAAATGCAATGCAAGGACAGTCCATACTGTGTTAATTATGGTTTGTTTTAAAACACTTTCCCCTTAAGCAGCTGGCTATAGGATGTGGAAAGAAATACTGATGTTGAGTGCTTGTTTACTTTAGCTTTCTATCACAATTTTTTAAGAAGGCAAAACTAATGTAATAGTCCTTTTACTATGATGTCATGTAAGGTGTAATGTTCTGCTGCTTGAATGACTTTGTTTGATCCCGACAGCTGGATACTGGGAAAACCTTTCATGCCATCATGAGATTTGACACTGACGTGGAGCTCACTTACTTCCACAATGGCGGCATTCTGAACTACATGATCCGTAAAATGGCATCCTAATGTAAAATATTAAGCAAAACCATCCAGGTACAAGCCTGCTTCTGGTGAGCAAAGTAAAATGATGGTAATCATAAACTTGAAAGTGTGAACCGTAAAGTGAACAGGTTTTTTGTGGATTGTACTAGAAGGCTTGTTTACAATGCTGAATTATTCTGCGTGTCAGGAAACTGGACACGCTTGCCCAATTAAACAGCATTTATTATTTGTTTTGTATGGTGGTTGGCTTGACTTACATTAGAATACAGTGCAAAAGTCATTAAAATACTGCTCGAATATGTGGAACTCTTGAAGATAATGTGCTGATTTCATATATTTGGTCAATTTAGTGTGTTTCTGAATTTAAGTTCTATGCTTATATCAGTGGTCCAGAAATTAACTGACAGTATAAAAAAGTTGTTATTCTTTTCTGATTACCGATATTGACTTGCTTTCTTACTCAGTTTACCAGAATCTGAATCTAATACTGAAACGATTTATATAGCTGTTTATTAATTTTAAAAAATGTGAACTTTGTTGTTTAAAATCTAAGCCTTTGTGGAAAGGCGGACCTATTGGGGATAATATTTCTAATAGATTAAATTTATTTTCAAACAGTTTGGTGTTTTTTGTCATGTTACCCTCAGTACCAAGATGCAGAACAAAGCTTTGACTTTAAACTCTTCTCATTGTCCCTGTTGGAGCAGAGTTGTGCAAGTCTTGACTTCTTATGTTTTAATTCTTGTTTCGTTGAATAATCTGCATGAGACCAGATGAATACAAATACTGTCAGATACTGGCAGTGTTCTGTAACCCAACAGAATATTGTTGTGATGAACTTCCTTCTGTTCTGTGTCCTCACAACCTACCATAATTTCAAGATCCTTTTACCAGAGATTACACTGTGTTCACTGAAGTGACCACCCAATCCACAATACCACATGAATCTAGTTACAGTGATAACAAATACCCTCTTACCCAAAGATGAACAAGGTTATAGTACTAATTCTTACTCTTCACTATCTAGTATTTAAAGGAACTGCCAGAACAATTAACAGTGGAGAAAATATTTTCAAAGTAATCTCCTAATGTACTTTTATTGCTGTTAGCTCCAGTTGTATCTTGAAAAAGATCCCAAACACAATGAGGATAGTTCTGAAAGAAGTCAAGAGGCTTAAGGACTTGATAGAGATTGCACTGTACCTGCAACAGGCTGTTTGTGCTTGATTACAACAAATAACAAATCTCTAGCAAGTCCAGCAGAGGCTCACTGACATGTTGCACAGAGCATCTCTCAGGACAAGTGGAGAGAACTAGGACTGTTCAACCTGGTGAAGAGAAGGCTCAGGGACATCTCCACTATTTGTGTATGAATACCTGAATGGCGGCCACAAAGAAGATGCAGCCAAACTCTTTTCAGTGGTGGCTAATGACAGGGCAGGAGGCTATGGGCACAAACTGAAACACAGGAGCTTTCCTCTGAACATCAGGAAATAATCGTTTTTTACTGTGAGGGTGACCAAGCGCTGACTTAAAGAGATTGCCCAGATAGGTTGTGATGTCTTCATCTTTGGAAATGTTCGGATGTGATCCTGGGCAAACTGCTGTAGGTTACAAGATGACCTCTAGAGGTCCCTCCCATCCTCAGCCTTTCTGTGGAACTTAGCATATGCTCATCATCTTGAGCATTATTTGGTAATAAATATGCAACTTTGGGTTCAGTGGCAAAAAAAAGTCAGATATTCTCAAATTCCAAGTAGAGTGCTAGTGTTCTTCCCCACCTTCCCATCTCCACTGTGTACTGAAGGTAGTTTTGTATGGAGTTGAGTTCTTATTACTGTATTGCCTTGTCAACCTTTATTACACTCATTTAGGCTGAACTCAAGAGTTGTTGTAGTCTGCAATCCTTCTGATCAAACAAGAGGAAAAGACTGAAACTCCTTAAATTCCTTAACTTCCCAGTAGTTACTACTATAAGCTGTGAAAATTGAGACTTTTTTTTTTTTTTTTTTAATGCAAAGAGTCCTTAAAGTAGATGGTTCTTTCACACAACAAACCAAACTGATACTCAAGGGCTGTGATTTTTTCCATGTACTTTTAATTTGAATGTGCTCGCCAGCCTTTTTCAGAATCTTTGTTCCTAGTATTTTTGGAGGAAAGGCATTATCCAACCATATGTTGTCTTTATCCATTGTTCTGTGTTTCCTTTTTGGAAGCAGATATAAGAACAACAAAGAACTAGGTAAAAACTAAACACAGAGTAAGTTTCTGTAAGCCTGAGATTCAGGCTTCCTGTACAGTGCATACACCTTTCACAGTAAAAAGCACTGACTCGGAATGTGAAACAGTGCTTAAAAAGTTGGTTTACTCTTAAATGCCATGTAACATTTTAAAAGAACACAAGTCTCACAAGGGTCCAGGCAGTTAAATAATTTTTGGACTTCTACTTAGCTTCCTGTTCAGTGTGGTTTTCTTCAGGATTCAGGTATTTCAGACACATAATTCTTCTACATACATAAAACATGCAACAGCAACTTGATGAACATGCAGTGATGGAAGGAAACTGCTACCATTTTAATCCAGAAGATGCTTCCTCCAAGAGGGCTTCTTGAAGCCCTGCTGCTTTCCTCAGACTGTTACAGAAGCATTCTCTATTAAAGATGGATTAAATGATGCAATATCTGCCTTACAGAAAAGTTACTGCACATTTTCTCTCTATTTTCTATATACCAAGATGCCTAGAACATTAAAAGTAGCTAAAGTTACAGTATGCATAAGCCATGTTGTCTGCATGGAGGTTCAATCAAACCGGAAGTCACTGGTAACAAGTTCTCATTCACACAGGAACGCTTGAAGCTGTGGCCTGTTACCTGACATTACATGTTTTGGTAGTCATTCAAATTCATTTTGTTTTTTTTTCAGATTAACCTCTTCATAGCAGCAAGGATTAAGATCTAGATGCTTAGGCACATGTCTGGCTATGCTTGTATTAAACCTTCTAGTGAAACATTTCGTTAGATAGCAGTTTTTTTCAGTTGCCATACTAGTATTTTTTTTATTCTAGCCAGATGCTGTTATGGGGCCTAGCATATCAGGTGGCATAAAGAACAAAATTTTTTTATTCATAGATCATCCACTTAGTGCAGTAGGTTGATTAATCCATTAAAATGCTGAGGTCAGCTGGACATTTCTTCAGCATCAAAATTCTTTAGAGAAATATTAAGATCTTTCCATTTCTGAAACCCATTCGTGTCCCAGTTTAAAAGTTCTCTACTACAAAGCTTTTGCTTTTGATCACTTGTAGATTATCAAATGTCCTGTACTTCACTATGATTCCCCAGTCGTGCTGGCAGTTAGTATTTTGGCAATGCATCTTGCTTTTTTTCTCAAAACAAACAAACTGGATTGGTTTATGGTGAGGCTTTGTTATATACCGCTCCTTGAATGCGTCTCCTAGGACAGTGTGATGAGACTTCTGAAACAACACATGCCAGAAGTGATTACTAGTAAAACCACTATTCCTTATTTTTGCCTGACAATCCCCTTCCCCTTATAAATACCATTTCCCTGGTAAGGTGGTTCCTGTCATTCAGGAGGCTCACCTTCCAGCCCTGTTGGCTCATTGCGCTTCCCCACCCCCCCCTTCATTAAATACCAGGTGATAGAAAGGCCCAGGCTTGGGCTTATCAAAACCAAAACTGCTATGTAGCAGCAGCAGCTTATGCATATTTGAACATAGCTTCTTTAAAAACTGTGTTTTCAGTATTTCAGCCTTGTGCATAAAACTAAGAAAGTCATCTGGACACCAGGTACCTTGAGAGACTCCTGGTTCCCACTCGTTTTAGCTGTATGACCTCAGCTTTCCATGAGGGGAAATGCAATTCCTTTGGAGTGGTAGAAAAAATAACCCTAACAAGGTAAGGGAGTTACAATTGTTGTTTATAACACATATAATCAAAGACTTATAAAAATTAACAACTTAATTTGAAAAAAAGAAATGTACGATTTGAGCTGAAGTTGGAAAATGCTCATTCCTCCTGGAAGAGCAATTTCCATTAAATATATAGGCTGAACTAAGACAGAACTCAGTTTTTAGGGATTATTTAAAATATTGTGAGGAGTTATTTGCAGACTACTAAGTAAAAACTCTTGAAGAGTTTTTTGAACTCTCAGATCTATTTGCATAGGTATAGGTGATTGTCCAGCAGCACAGAATGGAGTATCAGAGGTATCAGAGATAAGTTTTTTTCTCATAGGTTTTTGTCATAGCTTTTCACTAGGCTGAGCTATTGGCCTTTGCCCTCACCTGTGGACTTTCCCTGTGCAGAGCTGTAGTGAACTCCATCTACGTTACAAAAACAGCTCGTAAAACCAAACAAAACAAAGATTTTCTTGATTAAAAATGGAAGTGCCTGAAGGCAGGCACTCCGCAGTTCCCAGCGTTGGCCCAAAGCCCCTTGTCCCATCACCACTGCGCTTTTCAGAGCAACACAAATAGAAGCATCTTCAGAAGAACAAATTGCAGAACTAGAAAGGCTTGAAGTGCCCAGAAGAGTCTCTTTTCACAATTACCACTTGCCATGTGTAGACTATTTGCTTCTTGGGCCTACAGAGAAATTCTTCAGAAAAAGTACAGTAAAAATGTCCCCATAAGATACATAGAAACAATGTGAACTACCTAGAAAATTAAGAAGAAAGTAATATTGAAGAAATAAAGGGCTCCTCTTTTAAAAAAACCCTGAAAACTGGCCCCAAGACAGTGAGCTAATCTCAGTACTTCGTACGGCTAATTTTCAGTCAACAGAAATGGTGGGAGAAGTCTTAACTGCAGGAATATTTCCAACCTTATGCTAATTGGGAAGGTAAATATCCAGCAGTTCCACTAGTAGGTTATGTCATTGAAGATCACATGGTTTTCCACAAAATGAATAAATTTCTAACAGAAGGAGATTCAGGAAAATTGAAGTGATTTCTGTCATATCACATACACTCCTTGAACATCATCAGCTACCATCAGAATATGCTATAGAAGTAGTTATGACTGGTCCTGTGGCCTACCAATTTACTCAGAATTTTTTTCTGCTCCAGTTTGCACAAAATAGCCTACTTCCCACACTGATGAACATTGCTGTTAGTTCAATAGTGCTGACTTCCCCTGTGTTCAAGGGTGTAGGTTTCCATACAGAGGCATACCTTTATAATTCTGACGTTATCTGTACTGCAGGCATATGCTTTGCATTTTCCACACGGATTTTTTTTCCCTTCCACTATGTTATATTGCATTTCTTTCTTCCTGGAATCTCATAATACCTTTCCCTTCATTTGCAGATCATGTATCTTTAATAAATAAATAAAAATCAAGATCATTATGAAGTTAAGAAAAGCCCCCAGTGTCTGCCTAAACATGACTGAGGATATGTAACGTCTAGGAACCTATTACTTCTTCAAAGCAAACAAACAAAACGTCCTATTCTAGCAACTCATACCAAAGAAATAACATAGTACATTTGTTGGGTTAAGTATGTAAGACTAGAATTACATCAATGACAATTGAATTGAACAGGGAAGAATATTTATGCTGTCTGTTCCTTTCTTCCCTCTACTCCACTGTAGCCCTTTTGATCATAACAATATTAAGTCCTTGTGAAGGACTTGTGAAGCTATGAGAGACTCCCTCCTGCATAAGTAGCACTGCGGCTCTGGAAAGCTCAGTTTGGAAAGAAGGCTTCAGAGACCACAGAAATTGCAGCATTCCAGTTTTGTGAGTCACCCCAGCATGTTTCTGTTATGGCAACTATATCATAGTTTTCCACATGCATAGTAGCTTTCAGGTCCTCTTGTTTGTTACTTGTGCTGCATGCATTGGTGTAGATGTACTTCAACTGGCCTAGTGATCCTGCCATCTTTTTTTGGGGAGAAACCTTCATTCCTAGGTGATCGTTCTCAGGAGTTCCTGTGGTTTCTAACCCATCATAACCCTTGTTCCTTTGCTGCCACATGGATCTCCATCCCCTACCTCCACTGCGATGGCAAACCGAAAGACCTCGCTAGCGCACCCATCCCTCAAACACTGGCTTATCTCCAGTGACCCTGGTTTTATCGCTTTCCCCCTTCAAATCTAGTTTAAAGCTCTTTCAATGAGCCCTGACAACTCCTGTGCGAAGATCCTTTTTCCCTTTGAGACGCTTGTACCCTGTCGGTTTCCAGCAGGCTGCTGTCATGTAGACAGATACATGATAAAAACCACAGATCATGCCATGATACTACTCTCAGACCAGGTATTGATCTGCTGGCGCTTTCTGTTCCTTCCCTCATCATTCCCTGCAACTGGAAGGGTAGAGAAGAACACTAAATGTGCTCCTGATCCCTTAACCAATCATTTTGGGCATGTTGGCTTTTTGTTCCACTTGGGGAGAGTCTCATGTAGCAATGACCCAGCTCTTTATGGAGGTGGTTTTGATGCAGGGTGTACGCCAACTTAACCTTGGCAACACCACCAAGCTAGGTTGAGGTGTTGCCAAGTTAACCTTCTACTTACTACGCCAGACCACCATGGGCTGGTCATGGAGGAGGCATGCCTGCTGCACTTGCCTGACCAAAAGTCCATCCTTGGCTTAGCCTGAGGCATCTCAGCACCACAAGTGCTTGACACTAATTTCTACCCTCATGATGTTTTCTCATGTGGTAAGTGCACAGCACACAGCAGGGCTAATGGAAAGCACTGAATGTATGCTGAATTAACTAGACTTGTTGATCTGCCAGATGCTGCTTGAAGCAAAGATGAACACTACTGTAAGCAATACAAAATAAGTCACCAGCCCAAGAGCACGTGCAAACCCAAATGTCATCCTGTTAATGTCCCTGGCAGTGGTTTCTTGGAATGTCTCAAAAACCACTGCTCTGAAATCAACAAGCACTTGGCATGACAACAAAAGCACTTGTACTGGCCTGCAATAAAGATGAAGAGCTTCTGAACATGGAGTACTGTGTTCAGCTCTGGGCCCCTAAATATACGAGGGATGTGGACCTGTTGGAGCTAGTCCAGAGGGGGCCACAGAGATGATCAGAGAGTTCGAGCACCTCGGCTATGGAGGCAGGCTGAGAGAGCTGGGCTTGTTCAGCATGGAGAAGAAAGGGCTCCAGGGAGACCTTAGGGCAGCTTCCAGTGCCTAAAGGGGCTGACAAGAAACCTGGAAAGGGGCTTTTTACAAGGGCCTGTAGTGACAGAACAAGGGGGAATGGCTTTAAACTGACAGAGGGGAGATTTACATTAGACATTAGGAAAAAATCCTTCCCTGTGAGGGTGGTGAGGCCCTGGCACAGGTTGCCCAGAGAAGCTGTGGCTGCCCCATCCCTGGTAGTGTTCAAGGCCAGGTTGGACGGGGCTTGGAGCAACCTGGTCTAGTGGAAGGTGTCTCTGCCCATGGCTGGGGATTAGAACTGGATGATCTTTAAGATTCCTTCCAACTCAAACCATTTTATGGTTCTATGAATATGGATAGACATACTACCACCATTTGCAGTTTCCCATCTCCCTGTCCACTATCCCAAGTAGACACACCAGTATTTTTCCTCCAGTGGACTGAATAATGTATATTTTATTTCTAAGATGAGAAGTTTATCTAAATTATACCTCAACTTCTAAGTTTTTTACATTTACAGTAGAGATGACATTCTGCAAGCTAGCAGTACACACTGTCCCTTATTTACTGACTTAGCCTTGGTCTAAAACCAAATACACTTTCCTCAGGTTATCACTTGGTCTTAGATAGAGCCCTAGTAGATGAAGGCCTGTACATTTGAGTATGAAAGTTTCACAGAAGCATAAACCTTTCTTGCAAATGTTCTTTCATCCCAATTCTGTAGCTTTTCAACAGCTTCATTTATCATTTCTTCCTTTTAACAGCTATGTTTCTCTTTCTCAACCATTTCTGTTTTGTTTGTCACGAGGATGCACTTGCTGTCTTTAGCCGTTCCATAACCTATACAGCAACACATTTAACCTCTTTAGTTACTCTTAACAAGATGTGCAAAAGCAGCAGGTATGCCATAAAACAGCATTAAGGCCCTTCTGTGTGGCTGGTTTTGTTTCCTATGTTTAGATGCAGATAATGGTGCTTCTAAAGAGCATTCTCTCAGCTCTTTCTTCTTCAACCACAAACCAGGACAAAGTGCCCTTTTCCAGGTATCCTCATGGATATCTCCAGCTGCTGTGGCCTGCCTTGGTTAAGATCAGGCATGCTTGAAACTTTAGTTATTGTATAGCACCTTTCTGTCTGCTTGTGGGGGGAAAAAAAAAAGAGCAGAAAAGCTCATCTTACTTACTAGTTTTCTGCCATGCTAATTGATGTCTATCTAAAAAAAAAAAAAAAAAAAACCAAAAAAAAACCAACCCAAAACAGTCTATCACAAAAAAAGCAAGGAACTGGAAATACAGTTCTGGCAAGAAAAGAGATGAGCAACCACTATCTCTTCCACCTACTGTGCTGCCTGCCTCTTTTTTCGCTGCTGTGACACAGGCAGCTAAGAACTGCAGGGATCTCATACCAGTTTAGAAGTGTTCACATTTGCTTTTGAGCTCTCCTTCCCCCAGAATCGTGATTTTTTGTGGTTTAAAACTGATACAACCTATTTCCTTTGCATCTTTAATAGCTTGTAAAGAATAAACACTATCGTTTTACTCATAAACATGAGTTCTGGGCCAATTACTTTATTATAAGACAAAAAATAAACCCTGAAAGGTTTCAGGACATAAACCCTGAAAGCAGATGACTTTGTACCGTGGAGATCACTTTCCATCAAATAATTAAGTTACCTACTTGGGTGATACCATAAAATATTTCAGATACACCCTCGAAAGATGTTTCGTCATTTAGGAATGTTAACAGAAACTAGTATTTAGTGTGGCTCTTCATTCCCCTCTACTGGCCATCTTGTAAAATCACCAAGATTCAAGACCGAAGTAACTTAGATTTCTTTATGCCTCGGTGTCGTGGTTCAAGCCCAGCCGG